AAAAATACTAAAATGGCTGATGGCCAGATGTATCAAGATGTCTCTGGAAGAACTGAAAATAGTACAAAAGAGGGTAAATTGAATGTTATCATCATTGTGTTTGTTGTTGTAGCGATAGTCGTCATAATCGTTATCGTCTCTCTCATAATCCTAAGGGTAGTTTTGTTAAAGAGGCGTCCCAATGATATAAAAGCAAATAAAGACTCTGAAAGTAACGGACGAGGAAACTGGGGTGGGGGCAAATTCATTTCACAAGTACAGGATGAGGCAATTGTAGTCAATGAGTTAAACGAACGGAGAACTAGTTCATCGGAGGAAGAAGAAGAAGAAGACGTAAATGAACGCACACCATTAAAACGTGAAAGAAAACTTAGAGGCACAGATCTGACACAAGATAAAGAAATAATCGTAGTGGAGGGCAGTCATAAAAAATGCAGGAGAAAAATAAATTTGAATAATAGTTCAGAAATCACAGAAAGTTTTGCCTGAATACATATATTGTTCCTTTATTGATTATATATTAAAGATAAAAATATAGAACTTAACATATACAATCAAGTAGAAATTATTATTGTATCTCTCGGCCAATTTGAAATAGATGATATTCAAATACATACAAATCTTATACATTAGCAAAAATCCATTCTAAGAAATATTCAGAGAATTCGAATCAAATAAACACATTAAAAGTATCAAACCAGAAGTTTAGAGAAACGAAATGTCAATCTCAAAACAGGACTATGAGACTAAATTTTGCCAATGGATTTGCAATGTGTTTGTATAATTTCATCAAGTGGCTCGGCGACAACGAACTTACCACCCCTCAAGCCAAAATGTTAACCACCTACCCTCTCAAATCTCCAAACTCAACCGAAATTTGCCAAAATACAGACGGGCCGTTCTCTCGAATCTCGTACTCACCGGTGACAAAAGGGGAATAAAAGCTAAGTCATCGGATTTACGCAAAAGATACGATGGAGAATCGAAACAAGTGATGGGTAGTAACCGATATGTAGTAAAATATATATATATATATATATATATATATATATATATATATATATATATCTTTTTGATAGGAGTAGTGGAAAGCAGTGAAATTTGTGTCAATATATCCTTTTTTTCGTGGTATCGACCATAAATGCGCCTTCGAAGCAGGCCCCAGATTTTGTAATATTTATATTTTTGTAGCTGTAAATTGTATATAGGCTAATGCATGCTGTTTGTAATATATCGTTAGAGTTGTACATACACGTATAATATAAAAAGATTCTCTTTTGTTTAAATGGTGCAAATGTATTTGTTTCCAGTGCCTGTTCGTGAGATAATGGGTCCCGTCTTAATAACTTTGCAAGTTTACAGTCTCTTGTGATCTCTTATGTACATAGTTGCAATTGATATCAATCGCAAATAAGTTGCAAACTTGCGATTAATATCAACTCTGTATAGGTGGGGCCCAGAGGTCTGATATCAAATGATATACAGTATAATCATCGATCATCCCATTTAGAAATCTAATATTCATATTCTTGAACTTACAGCTGTACATTGTGTTTCTTGCCAGAGCGCATGTGGCGTAAGTACAAGTCACAAACAAGATTAATCTCAATGAGATTTGTGTTTACAACCATTTAGTAAATATATTTGTTTTATTATTTCTATCATGCTATTTCAGATTCTTAATCATGCTATTTAATGAAGCGTGCTAAAAATATCTCGATATTTAAAATGAACAGTTTTGTTTCTATCTTGTGTAATCGTCTTAATGTCGAATTCATTCATTCCTTGAACAGATAAATGTATATACCTAACAATGACGCAACGCAATAAAATTTGTATTTTCCAAAATCCTTTCCCTTGTTTTATTCATCGGTGTGGTTATATCTATTTCCATTCTGAAGAACGCTGTGGGAGCCAATACATGACTGAAGAAGAAAAGAAGCGAAATTATGCTAGAAAGATATGAAAATGAGAGAGAGAGCGATATAGAGAGAAAGTGAGAGAGAGAGAGAGAGAGAGAGAAAAGGATATGGAAGAGGATAGAAGGAGTCGTGACAATCCTTAGTTAAGGGTGTGTATCTACAAAATTGCAATGCATTCTCAAAATCTCACACTCCTCGACTTCGAAAAGTCTTGAAAATACTCTGCATCTTTCATGGGAAGGATTTAATTGTTTCTGAAATTGCCCCCTCCCGAAAATGGAATGATTATAACAGTGGGGGGGGGGGGTGATCACCTTCCTGATTATAATAAACAAATAATAACAAAGCGTGGGAATTCTTTGAAGGGTACTTTTAATTCTAAACTTCTTACAAACACTGTTTATAATTTGATTTGGTTTGATTTATTTATTTTTGCACCAAAATATCCAAAATTAAAATAACATATAAACCATAACGTATTACAATATATAATAATATAAAATATATATCACTCTCTTTTCTCTCTCTCTCTCTCTCTCTCTTTATCTCTCTCTCTCTCTCTCTCTCTTTATCTCTCTCTCTCTCTTTCTCTTTCTCTCTCTCTCTCTTTCTCTTTCTCTCTCTCTCTCTCTCTCTCTCTCTATCCAAAACAGAAGGGAGGTAAATGAAGGAGGACGAACTAGACATACTGGCCTACTACAGGGGCTTGGGGATGCTGCCCTCCCCCCCCCCCCCCCAAAAAAAAAAAGTTCCACGCCCACAAAAGAAAGAAAAGAGAATAAACGATAGAAGGTGAAGGGCTAGAAAGAAAAACTTGCCATTTCGTTAATCACTACTTTCTTTCATAATAATTGTATTGGTCACATCAAGTATATTTTACAGTCAAGCCATTAAAGTACGTTTTTAAGGACCTATTATCATTCGTTTTTTTGAGGGAGTCTTCCTAATTAGTTATATTTTTTTAGATGTATAAGTCCTTTTCATTTTTACTGCAAGGAGTCAAATCCTCTACTATATTTCTTACCAACTTGATCATGTGCCTGTGTCGGTGCGTTGAAACTCAACGCTCGTCGCCTTGCCATAGAAAATGTTCATACGTTGAAGCTTTCCAGCAGGCCAACTGTGAATATAGATCATTGGACACTATACCCATCGAATGCAATGCTGCTTCGTATTTGTCTCTCCGTTACAATCACATCACCACGATCGAACCTCAGATATTCAGAGGCTTTCCTTTCCTTAAGTATTTCTTATTGTCAAACAACAACATATCACATGTAAGTACGTGATGTTAGTAGTTAGAGCAATATAAGGGGAATTTTTTTGGGGTGTGTTTTGGAGGAAAACCCCCCCCCCCCCCCCCCCCCCCCCAATTTTAATACAAAATATAAAAAAAATATTTTAAAAATTGTGCTATTGGGTGACCAAAAATTGTGCTCTTACCCCTCCCCCCCCCCCCCCCCCCCCCTCCCCTGCTTATTCAGCGGCTGGCTGAGTCGTTGCCAAATTTTGAACCCCCCCCCCCCCCTTTCGAAAAAAAATCCTGCGTACGCGCCTGAGGAGATGTATCTGACAATTAGAGAAGGAGAGTTAGAGAAAATATCAATGAACTCGTAGTGTATAGAGTTCAATGGGTAATATGGAGTGTATTTTGGTCTTCTCTTCATAGAGTTTAGTAGAAAAATTTGAGTTTTGGGGGAATTCTCTTCATAATCTTTCGAGGGCCAGGAAAGGTCATCGAAAGAAAACAAATATTTGAAACGTAGACTTGTAAACTAAAGTCCAACTATCATGTATTATGATCCATAGACCTTCTTGTATTTTCTCACTACTTTGTAGTTGGGGGTATATATGGAAACCCGTTGACACGGGTTGGATAACACTGTTTTTAATTAGTCTTTTATCAAAATTACCATGTTACTCCGAATGCACAGGATGTCAAGCGTAGTACATCGAAACTATAAACTGCTTGTCTTTTGTGTTCAAATGCTGTACGACCAATGAAATGGAAACTGAAATTGATAACGACCGTTGAAATGCACAACACAATGGACGGGTATCCCCCTCTGATCAGATATAGTCTACTGTGCACATTGTGATGACACAGGTATGAGCACACGTGATTGGTACGGTGAGTGTACCTGAAAAATTATTGTTCATCTCATGTTTGGTCCCTGCGGTCCATTTAGCCCATTTCGTACCCTTCAAAATAGCCGACATGGGGTAATTTATCCTGTAGATCTACATTAAATGGCCCATGACATCGAAATACAAGTGTATTCATGTTGGTGTGCAGTCCTGCATACATCTCATATTTTGATATGTAAACTTCTGAATTTGATTCATAGAATTTAGATATTTTTTGAAATATTTGTTTTTCAAACTTGCTAAGCTCCACCCCAAAAACCTCTAGATCTCATTCCCCTTGTGACATTATCTATCAGTCATTAATGAGTTTTTGCAACAAGACCTTGGCTTCAGAGGGGAGGGGGTCAAACATTCGGGATGATTATTTTCTTCCTCTTACGTTGAAAATACAAGATCGTTGTGATTCGGCAAAAGAGATCACCAGAGTACGTGGCATAATAAATGTAAACCGTCATATTCATGTCATATTTTCAATAAAGCATTTATTGTTTACTAGATACAATAAACAGCACTGTGTGCACTTTGAACTTGGCGGTTAATTGAAATGTATGCAGATACCTTTAAATACAATGAATGATCACATGATATGATTCAACCAATGGTGTTGACTAGTGCTATGAATATGTATACCGTGACAAATTCGACGGCGGGGCGTTTAAATTTCATTTCAAGATCAAGCAACGATCACAAACTAAACATGGCCTCCGTTAAAACTAGAAATTCTAGAATGTCTGTTTTCTCAGTGCACAAATCGTCATTTTCAGGGCAAGAAGTGAAATGCTGTTCTATATTTCTTACCATCTTGATCATGTGCCTGTGTCGGTGCGTTGAATCTCAACGCTCGTCGCCTTGTCATAGGAAATGCTCTTACGTTGAAGCTTTTCAGCAGGCCAACTGTGAATATAGATCATTGGACACTATACCCATCGAATGCAATGCTGCTTCGTACGGTCTCTCCGTTACAATCACATCACCACGATCGAACCTCAGATTTTCAGAGGCTTTCCATTCCTGAAGTACCTTTTGTTGTCTAACAACAACATATCACACGTAAGTACCGCCTTGCAATTAGTACCATTATCAATGTAAATATATATATATAAATTATGTTGTTATTACTTAGAGCAATATAAGGGAATGTATCTATAGAGATTGAGATATATTGAAGAGACTCCACTTGAAGAAGGGAGAGAGGGGGAGAGGAGAATAAGGCAGAACAAAAGAGAAGGAGAGATAGAGAAAATATCAATGAACCCGTAGTGTATAGAGTTCAATGGAAAATATGGAGTGTATTTTGGTTTTCTCTTCACAGAGTTCAGGAGAAATTTTGAGTTTTGGGGGTATTGTCTTCATAATCTACCGAGGACCTGGAAAGGTCATCGAAAGAAAACAAATATTTGAAACGTAGACTTGTAAACTAAAGTCCAAGGTTGAATTAAATATAATTGTCATGTATATGATCCATAGACCTGCATGTATGTTTTCATTATTTGCTATTTGGGGGTATGGAAACCCGTTGAGACTGTTGGAATAAGACAGTTGTAGTCTAATTCAACTTAACCATAAGTTACTCCGATGCACAGGATGTCAAGCGTAGTACATTGAAACTATAAATTTCTTGTATGTTGTGTTCAAATGCTGTAGGCTACGACCAATGCAATGGTAACTGAAATTCAAAACGGCCGTTGAAATTCAAACACAATGGCCGGGGATTCCTCTCAGATCAGTAATGGCGTACGCAGGATTTTTTCAAGGGGGGGGGGGGGGTTAAAATCTGGCCCAAAATATTTTGCTCCCGAAAATTTGAAAATCGCGCCGGCCGAAAAGTCGCTCAGTGGGGGGGGGGGGGGGGGGGGGGGGGGGGGGGGGGGTAAGCGGACAATTTTTTTTTTGGTCTCGAAATTTGAAAATTTGACATTTTTTTTTTCGTGGGGGGGGGGGGGTAAGGTCACTTTACGTTAGCCGTTGGCATAATTTTTTTTTTTTTTTTTTTTTTAAATAAAAAAACGAAACAAAACAAAACAAAGGGGGGTTTAGTTTTTTTAGGGGGGTTTACACACATAAAAATATCAAAGGGGGGGGGTTTGAACTCCCAAAACCTCCCCCCTCCCCCCATCCCCCCCCCCCCCCCCTGCGTTGAATTAAATATAATTGTCATGTTTATGATCCATAGACCTGCATGTATGTTTTCATTATTTGCTATTTGGGGGTATGGAAACCCGTTGAGACTGTTGGAATAAGACAGTTGTAGTCTAATTCAACTTAACCATAAGTTACTCCGATGCACAGGATGTCAAGCGTAGTACATTGAAACTATAAATTTCTTGTATGTTGTGTTCAAATGCTGTAGGCTACGACCAATGCAATGGTAACTGAAATTCAAAACGGCCGTTGAAATTCAAACACAATGGCCGGGGATTCCTCTCAGATCAGTAATACTGTGCACAGGGGCGTACGCAGGATTTTTTCAAGGGGGGGGGGTTTAAAATCTTTAATAATTTAATTATTATTAAAGCATGAGTTTATAGATGTAAACCTTATATTGGCAAGGCGGCAATTGACTTTCATGAAGAGCAGAAACGCATTAAAAAATAAAGTCCTTCTTTTGTTTAAATATATACTTGTGTTCCTGGACCTTGACGTCAACTAGGGGTCAACACATCCGGGAGTATTTTGTTTTCTAATTTTGTTAAAAATGCCCATAATTTATGAGATTTACCTTAGAAAATTATTCTTTTTCGTAGGCGGAAATTTTCCATGGAGGGGGGGGGGGGCTACCCCACTTACCCCTAGCCCCTATAAATATGTGCTAATAGTGTTTTGTCACTTATTAATACAAATTTATACGGTTACCTTTAAATACATCAAATCGTCACCCAATGGTTCAACCAATAGCGATCGACCATATTGTATGAATATGTATATAAAGTCGACCGCGGGGCATTTAAATTTCATACTGGTACTGGTACATTCGAGCAACGATCACAAACTAAACATATCCTCCGTTAAAACTACAAATTCTAAAATGTCGGTGTTCTCTGCGTTTTCACTGCCAGGAGTCAAATTCTCCACTATATTTCAAGCCATCTTGATCATGTGTCTGTGTCAGTGCGTTGAAACTCAACGCTCGTCGCCTTGTCATAGGAAATGTTCATACGTTGAAGCTTTCCAGCAGGCCAACTGTGAATACAGGTCATTGGACACTATACCCATCGAATGCAATGCTGCTTCGTACTTGTCTCTCCGTTACAATCACATCACCACGATCGAACCTGAGATTTTCAGAGGCTTTCCATTCCTGAAGTACCTTTTGTTGTCTAACAACAACATATCACACGTAAGTACCGCCTTGCAATTAGTACTATTATCAATATAAATATATATATACATATATATATATATATATATATATATATATATATATATAAATTATGTTGTTATTAGTTAGAGCAATATAAGGGAATGTATCTATAGAGATTGAGATATATTGAAGAGACTCCACTTGAAGAAGGGAGAGAGGGGGAGGGGGAGAATAAGGCAGAACAAAAGAGAAGGAGAGATAGAGAAAATATCAATGAACCCGTAGTGTATAGAGTTCAATGGAAAATATGGAGTGTATTTTGGTTTTCTCTTCACAGAGTTCAGGAGAAATTTTGAGTTTTGGGGGTATTGTCTTCATAATCTACCGAGGACCTGGAAAGGTCATCGAAAGAAAACAAATATTTGAAACGTAGACTTGTAAACTAAAGTCCAAGGTTGAATTAAATATAATTGTCATGTATATGATCCATAGACCTGCATGTATGTTTTCATTATTTGCTTGTTGTGTTCAAATGCTGTAGGCTACGACCAATGCAATGGTAACTGAAATTCAAAACGGCCGTTTTAAAAACGGGGGTTTTAAAATCTGGCCCAAAATATTTTGCTCCCGAAAATTTGAAAATCGCGCCGGCCGAAAAGTCGCTCAGTGGGGGGGGGGGGGGGGGGGGGGGGGTAAGCGGACACTCTTTTTTTGGTCTCGAAATTTGAAAATTTGACATTTTTTTTTTCGTTGGGGGGGGGGGGGTAAGGTCACTTTACGTTAGCCGTTGGCATAATTTTTTTTTTTTTTTTTTTTTAATTAAAAAACAAAACAAAACAAAACAAAGGGGGGGGGGGTTAGTTTTTTTTAGGGGGGTTTACACACATAAAAATATCAAAGGGGGGGGGTTGAACTCCCAAAACCTCCCCCTCCCCCCCATATGGAAACGTTTGCTTGTATTTTTCTCATAAAAGAATTTGACCACAAAATGACTCCCACACGGTGTTGAGTGCTCAGGGGTCACAGGCCACTGGCTTCATCGGGCAGGTAGTTCCATTATATGAATGGGTAAATTAACTATTACAAAATGAGGGGACACATCACATTGTACAATAGGGACACACATTGTTTTTATTGTGCAGAACATACTCTTTTATTGACTTACTTATTGCATACAACTATAAAACCAAAATGCATTTTGTATTCTAACAATTGAGTACAAAGAATAATAATAGGTGAATGAAATGCATTAAACATCACAAACACCTGGGGAGGAAGCATTCATAAATTTGAATATATATAGTTGATAAACGACTCCGATGAAACTATAAAACCAAAATGAAATTTGCGTTCTGGCAATTGGAGTACAAAGAACGATAGCAGGTGAATAAAAATGCTTCAACAGCAACACAAACACCTGGGAAGCTAGGAAGCATCCATAAATTTGAATAATTTAATTGATAAACGACTCCGCATGTGAATGTTTGTTGGAGCAGAAAGCAGTGGATTCCTAACAACTCGAACCCATAACAGAATGTCGGAACGTAAATTAAATTAGGCGCGGTTGGAAATGCATCTTTCCACCCTGCGACTTTAATGGTACGATCCAGTAAATTAAAACAGTAAAATGGCTCTTATTTTAAAATTACTCATCAAATAAAACCCAAAACTTCAGTGATATCGCAAAAATATGTTATATCTTACTAATAATGAAAAAAAGATATATAAACATTGTGAAAGTGTCGCATTTTACGATAAAAGACACCGATTTAGCGAAGATGACCTCATTAGTGCGCTTGCATCAGGGAATTCAAGGTCAAAAGGTCAATTCAGACGCTGATAAATTATTGGTCGAGCCTTTTTGTTTCCTTTATTCCGACATAATTATACAATCAATCAAAACAAGTTTAATGCCAAAAGAAAGCTAACGATTAGTATTTTCATTAACCGTTTGCCCCAAAGTCGCTTGACCAAAGTGAAACGAGTGAGAGCTTGCGAGAGCGGCCAAAGTGTGATTGAAACTCGCTATTTGTTATTCTTCAACGCAAAAAGAGTCGACATTGTGCTGGATAAATGTATTTTTCCGACGAAAGTACAGAAAATTTGCATATGGTCTTTTTATATTATACTTTATGAAATGTTACCCGAGTGACTTCCGGGCGCCCCAATGCTGGAAAGAAACGCACATTTTAGAAAACTTCACTTTTTCATGGAAAAATGCTTATTTGTTCTATGCACGCAAGTCAAATTGAGCGGATGATACGGCGTTTCCATATGCCCCCCCCCCTGCGTTGAATTAAATATAATTGTCATGTTTATGATCCATAGACCTGCATGTATGTTTTCATTATTTGCTATTTGGGGGTATGGAAACCCGTTGAGACTGTTGGAATAAGACAGTTGTAGTCTAATTCAACTTAACCATAAGTTACTCCGATGCACAGGATGTCAAGCGTAGTACATTGAAACTATAAATTTCTTGTATGTTGTGTTCAAATGCTGTAGGCTACGACCAATGCAATGGTAACTGAAATTCAAAACGGCCGTTGAAATTCAAACACAATGGCCGGGGATTCCTCTCAGATCAGTAATACTGTGCACAGGGGCGTACGCAGGATTTTTTCAAGGGGTGGGGGGTTTAAAATCTTTAATAATTTAATTATTATTAAAGCATGAGTTTATAGATGTAAACCTTATATTGGCAGGGCGGCAATTGACTTCATGAAGAGCAGAAACGCATTAAAAAATA